GCTGCCTGCCAGGTCCCACCACTGCAAACCCCACCAGGCTTCCTGAACCGGGCCTGGCTGGGAGAAGCAGCTCCACCCGGGGACCCCACGGCGGCACCCTCCGCTCGGGGCAAAAAGGCCTGCCAGGCGTAGCCTGATCTGTCTCAGAGCAGCGTCGCCACAGGTCTGCCCTCGGTGTTCTTCCACCGAGGAGCCCGACAAGGCCTGTGGACCAGGATGCCCGACGGCAGGGCCCCACAACAGAGGCCGCCTGCCGGAGGGCGCACGGCAGGCCAAAATGGAGCGGGCAAAGACGCCACTCACGGCTTGAGGCGCAGGCCAGTCTTCAGCTCGCCACGGACGCTGCTACAGCCGCTGCTGTTCACCGAGCCCTGGACCAGGAGAGACGCAGAGGGAGAGCTTTAATTAAGAGGAAGGCGACGTGCGGTACGTATGACGCCCTGAAGGCAGAGGCAGAGCCTCAAGGCCCCAGATCTCCCTCAAAGCCTAATCCTTGCCCCCCCCCTCTCTTTCTCTCTTTACCCGAGAAGTGCAGCTGGCCAGGAGGACAGTCCAGAAAAGACACCTGTCGGTCATGACCCAGCCACCAGCTCCCGGCTGCTTCCTCACCCGTCAGAAAAGCAACAGAGAAAGACGGGGCCCAGGACCACCTTGGTGACACCACCTTGGCTGGTCTCTCTGGGGCCCTCCAAGACCCCCGAGGGCTCCCCTCCCCTCCCCCCCCCGGAAAGGGCGCCTGGTGGCAGGCACAGCCCTGGTTAGTGTGGAGACGTCTGGGTTCATTGTACCTTTGGGGCTTCTTTGTTCTTACGTAGCTTTACGCTTGGTAAGGAACGGCCGTTTCTCGCAATATATTTAACTAGCTATACTTAAAGGTATATATAAAATATTGAAAAGGACATGGGCCATGGCAATGCACTAATGCAATGGCTAAACTCTAACACAGAGGGCTGTCTCTCAAAGTCTCCCCATTAGAAAACTTGGCCCTTGACCTTCCAGCCTAGCGCTGGCCAACCGTGGGGATCCGAGGTGTTCTTGGAATACAACCTCCAGAAACCCCAGCAGGGGGTGTGTGTGAAGGCTTCCAGGAGAGGCAGCCCACAAACATTTTGGCTCTCCAAGGCAGGCAACCGCTGGGTGAAAGCGTCACAACAAAGGAGCTGAAGATGTGGCGCAGGAAGCGTCCACCGGGACTGGAAAGAGAACATGGGCTGGCCAACCAGGGCAAGCCACGTGTGGAGGGACAAGGTGTGTCCCCCGCCCCTGGAGGGGTACAGGGCCAGAGACTCGGAGGGAGTCCTGGAGGCAGGAGGGCGGGCAGGCAAGCGCTCGCTCGCTCGCTCGCTCACTCCCGGCTGGGTCAAGGTGGAGGGAGGTGGGCAGACCGCACGCCCCAGGACCAGGCCGCTACCTCTCGGGCGTAGGGAGAGGGACAGGCGATCGAGCTGGGGACGGGATGGTTATGGATCAGGGCCCCCGAGAGGAGCTGCTGCCATCACTCCTCTTCTTCCTCTTGGGCCACAGAGGAAGGGCAGCAGGGACGAAACCCTGGGCCCCTTCCTGGTGCTCCTGGTGGCCAGATTCTCCACCAGGAGCCCATCTCTTCGTTTAAGGCAGATGCCACTCCGCGCCCTCCCCACTCAGGAACCCGAGGCTGTGACGCTCTTTTGGCCAGCCTTCCGCCACCCACTCCTCCCGGGGCCAGAGCGAGGCCAAGCAAGCGCCCACCTTGGCAGCAGGAAGCAGGTGGTTCCAGAAAGGGGCGCCCTTGGCGTCGGTGCTGCGGCAGGAGGCGGGCACGGCCGGGCGGGGCAGGAGCCGCTTCTTCCGGGCGGGAGGGAGGCTCTCATCCTCCGAGGCCGTCTCCGTCGCTGCCCCTTCCACGGCGGGCAGCAGCTTCCGCTTGGCTGGGCATCCGCGGGTGGCTCCCCCCGCTCCAGGCAGCCTGGGGCCAGGGCACGGAGGCGTCTTCTCCGAGGAGGGCAGCCCGTTAGCCACCCCCGGAGTGCTGTGATCTGGAGGCCTGGCGGCCGCCTGGGTTATACCCTCCCCTGGCGGGAGCGCCTGGGCAAAGCTGTGCAATTCAGGGCCAAGGCGGGAACGGGGGCCCCCAGCGCCCACCCCCTCGTCCTGCGGGGGCAGGGAGGCGGTGGGGCCGTCCCGCAGCGGGCCCCGGGTGCAGTCTCTCGTGTGCAAAGTGTCGCAAGGGATGTGCGGTGGCGCCGGAGGGGCGGTGCCTTCTTGGGCCCCAGCGGGGCTGGGATCCCGGCTCCGGCAGCGGCGGCGGACCTGGGGGCGGCGGGCGGCGGCAGGGTCTTCCTGGCGATGCTCCACCACCCGCAGGCCGCTGTGGGAGAAATGCTGGGCCGCCCCGCCCAGGGCCAGGTCCTCCACCAGGAGCCCATCTTCAATGGCGTCGTCCCCCCCGCCGGGCTCCCAGCAGCCCCGCTTGGCCTCCCAGTCGCCCTCGGCCGGCCGCTGGGGCTCCGGGCACGTCCGCTTGATGGGCTGCCGCCCCGGGGACCTCTGCTCGGGAGGGTGGGAGCCGGCGGCCGGCGGCGAGAAGATGGAGACCTGGTAAACCTTCTGGCACGTCAATTCCGGGGGGCCGCAACCCATCAGGACCCCCGGAGGCTGCCTCCAAGGGTGGGGCGGGGCCCCCGCTTCTTCGCCCTCCTCCTCCTCCTCTTCCTCCTCCTCCGGCTCGGGCCGCCACGGCTGCAGTCCTGGGGGAGGGCGGACTCGGCATTGAGGTGCCGCATGGGGCGTGGCGGAGGGTCAGGGTTTGGGGCTAAAGTGCCGTCGGGTTAGAGGATTGGAGCCTACTATGGGGAAAGTGGCCAGGCTGCATCTGGAAGGAGAGAAGGCGCGACCAATGAGGAGAGAGGCAGGGCCGGAGGCAGCCGCTGAGGAAGAACCTTCCTCCAGGTCGGAAGACCCTGCCATGCCTACCCCCCCTCCCTTTCAGCACGGCGCCTTCCTCCCTTGGTCCCCAAGCTGCCCCCCTCCCCCCTTTCTTGGTGCACCCTGTGCAGGTGTGGCAGGCCTTTCCAGCAGTGGGCCGCCCCGTGCTGACAGGGCCTGGGGGGGATCCCTAGAGAGCCCCAGGCTTCCTTTTGAGCCCGGGGGGGGCAACATCTCCGTATTTCCACCTTGTGGCAGTGGAACCGCTCAGATTTGCACCCGCCTCCAAGGGGCATCTCACCTGCTTCTTGATCTGTGGCTCTGATCCCTTCCTCCTGCGGGGGGCCCCAGGAGCCTCTTATCCCCCACCCTGAAGGGAAACCAGTGGCACGGGCCTCTCTTTCCCCCAGACCCTCAAGCAGCACCCAGGAGGGGCAAGCCGCTCCTCCGGAGAGTCGGCAACACCTTCGTCCACAGAGAGCGCCTGCCAGGCGGCTTGGCCACTGCCTGCTGGGAGGGGCCCCGGCAGAAGCCAGCCAGGGGAGGAGGCCACCAGGGTGTGGGGAGCCCCCCCTCACCCGCCCCCCTCCCAGGGCTTAGCACAGGGCTCTGGCATGCAGCTAGAGATGCAGGAGGAGGGAGGGCCAGGCTGGGAGGAAACCCCGCACTCACCCCTCAGCCACTGGCTGCCTCTCCTGGCGAGTCCCCTCTCCCCCTCTAGCAACAGATGAGCACTGGTACAGCTGGCCGGCGAGACCTGCCACCCTGGCACTCCCCAGAAGCGGCGTGGCTGGCGAGGAATCTCTCCCACCATCCCGGGCAGCAATGTGGATTCGGCTGGCAGCCACCTCAAAATCCTTGCCGGCTGGCAGGGTGTCGGTGCACCTGCAGCAGCAACCCTAATGTGTGAGAGAGAGGGAGAGAAAGAGAATGGGACCGCTCGGTGAGAAGGCCCCCATGGACGGACCAAGAGACCCACACGGCGGACGTGAGCCTCTCTTCATGAGGCGGTGCTTGCCAAGGAGGGAGAAAAAGCCAGAGGGGAGATGACAGGCAAAGCAGGGGGTGCAAGAGCACCACAAGAGCTAAGGGCGGCCGGGCTGCCTCCGACCCCATAGCTCCATTTCACCTAGCAATGGGGTCGCGAATGGTTTCCAATCCGACGGGGCGCTGGAACACTCACCGCTCGGACCAGACACAGAAACCAGCCAACAAGAGTTGCTAGCTGCAGAAGCAGAGCAGACAAAGAGGCCGGAGGTCTTCCTTTCTCCAAAAGGCTTGCTCTGGGAAGTGCAGGCAGGGCGCCCTGGGGGGGGGGGCTCCTGGCAGACCACTGGGCAGCTGTGACGGTTTGCAGGCTCTCCTGCTTTTTGCTTGCTTATGCCAGCGCTGACTGCGGTAGCTTTTTGAACTGATTCTCTGTCGCCAAGCCCCAAGCCTCCTCCAGGGCACTGCTGTTTCTAGCTGTGCTGACCCACAAAGACAGGGTGTGGGTGTGTTTGTGTACACACACACACACACACACACACACACACACACACACACACACACACACACACACACAGTGTATATATCCAGCCCTTGTACAACTTAATATTTTGATATTCTTGAAATACAAGCATGCACTTCTCCCCAGAATGCTTTGACTTTGGGGCACCCCCACCCCAGGTGAGCTGATGTTCCTTTCTGGCCACAATTTCTCCAGCTTGCAGGAGAAATCTGCAGGAATCCCCAAAGGGCCACAGGCTTCATGCCAGAGAGCTGGATGGGTTGGCTTACAGGCCATCTTGGGCAATGCTCTCCACCTTGGTCATCTAGACCAGTGGTTCTTAACCTTTGTTACTCGGATGCTTTTGAACTGCAACTCCCAGAAACCCCAGTCAGGACAGCTGGTGGTGATGGCTTCGGGAGTTGCAGTCCAAAACTCCTGAGTAACCCAAGGTTAAGAACCAGTGATCTAGACTAAAGTGAATGGTTTTTACTTAGCTGGTGAACTGCAGAGGGGCACAGGATAGTCCCCGGAGCTCAAGAGGCCTCACTCTGAAAGCCCAGGTGGGCTCGAGGGCAGGCCCTCCAGTTCAGGGGATGAGTGGACTCCAGTGGAGGGAAAGCTGGGAGTTGCCATCCGCCCAGCCACCGCTGGAGGGCCACCCTTTCCCCACCTTGGCCTCCAAGGGACCACTTACGGCCCATCGGCCTGGCCTGGGGCTGCAGGGGGCCATCCGAGAGGGCCAGCTTGCTTCCAGCCTGCAGTGGGGAGAACACCAAGCTCCAAACCAGGGGCTCCATTACCATCGCCGGCCACTCAGGCCCTGCTGCCTGTTGGCTTACTCACCAGACCCACAACCCCTTTCCAATGCAGAGTTATGGGCAAGGCTCTCTGCCATGGCACTCCCCCTGGGGCAACACTCCAAGACGCAGCTCAGTTGGCACCTAGGCAAAGAAAGAGACGGGGAGAGCATCAGCAGAGAGAAGGACTCAGAGGGGGCCGCAGGCCGTCCCTGCAGGTCAGTCTGCAAAACCAAACTCTATTTCATGCTGAATAACCTGTGAACTATAACATGTCTTAAACATAAAACTATATTTAGCTAGATTTTTCCTCCAAAAGCATTTCATTTAAAATAAATTTGCTGTAAATCCAAAAAAAATAAATAAATCTGATTTCTAGTTCTTTTAGAACATTGATTTTAATCCACCCTGCTCCAGGGGCAACGCTCCATCTGCAGGTTCAAGAGCAGGGAGACCCCCTGAGCGCTCCAGGCTTACCTGCCTGGCCTGTTCCTGCGTGGAGGGCAAGAATCGGGGGAGGGGGGGCATTCTTCCCCTGGCGGTGGGTGCCTATTTTTAAAGCCTCATTTTGTTTTGTTCGGATGGGCAGGGTTGAAACTCAGGCACTTTCGACCACTCTGAAGCAAGGGCAGAGCTTCTCACGACTCTGAGTTCAATCCCAACAGGCCCAGGGTTTCCTTCCCCTTCCATCCTTTCAGGGTCAGTAAACGGAGTGTCCCGTTCAAGGAGGGGGGCGGGCAATGTGTCGCCTGCACCCTTAGGTTGCAGTTACGCCCAATGATGCCCCAGGAGTGCTTTCAGTGCTTTGCTTTTTAAATGCCCCTCCCCAAAAAAGAGAGAGAGAGAGAGAGTCACTGCTGCCCACCAGGAATCAGGTGACCAGGCCAAGGGGTCGAGGGCCTTGAGGGTCGGCCAACAGCAGCAGCTAGGAAGGGCCAGGGGCCTCCCAGGATGGCACCCAAAGGCTCCCAGGTCCCTGGTGCTCCACACCAAAAGCAACATGGGCTCCCCGGTAGGGGGGGGGGATTATCGGCTCCCTCCCACCCACCCACCCCCTCAGCCAGAGCAAACCCTCTGCAGGTTTGGGCAAGGCAAATTCTGGCACTTCTGCCAGGTTTTACACACCTCCATGCCAGCTTGCAGGCACACCCCCACCACACTCGGGGTCTCGCTCCCCCCCCATTCTTCCAGGGTGAGGGTTGAGACTCAAGCAATGCCCAGGCCCTTCCCCAGAGACCCCCTCCCACCCTTTCCACTGTCGGGCAGGCAAGGGGAGGGGGTGAGCAAAACTTCTCCCAAGCAGAGAGGGTGACCTCTGACCCCCAGCTCCTCCCCAGGCAGAGGCCAGGCCGCAGGTGAGGGTCTCCCCAAAGGGACCCAGCCGGGCCTCCCCCAACCCGTTGCCCACGGGTGACCTCTGACCCCCAGCTCCTCCCTAGGCAGAGGCCAGGCCGCCGGTGAGGGTCTCCCCAAAGGGACCCAGCCGGGCCTCCCCCAACCCGTTGCCCACAACACCCCCGCCTCCCCCGCAAGGCCCAGGACCCTCCTCCGCTTGGCTGGCAAGCTTCTGCGGAGCAGCCGCTGCCAAACTGGGAAGGAAACCAAGAGCCGGCCGCCAGCGCCGCGTCCCCCAGTGCGCCTCTGAGCATCCCCGAGAAAGGGGCAGGAAGAGCCCCAGGGGAGGGTGGTGTTGCCCACAGGCTAAAGCAACCCACCAAGTCCTCACCTCGCCTCCCAGCCCCCAAAGCCTGGGGGGGGGACTGGGAAACGGAGGGCAGCGGCCGAGATGGGGAAGGGGGCAGGCCTGTCCCACGCCCACCCACCACCATGCATGCCCATGTACCCAATTCACTCGCCCACCCCACCCCAAAAAACCGAACTGCCCATGCCACCCATGTGGTACCCACGCCCCCCCTCTCCTGCTTGCGAGGGCTTCCCCGAAGGCCTCCCCAGGTCACAAGGCCACGCACACACCTTTGCGCCCTCCCTTTGGGGCCAAGAGAAAAGAGGCGCTGTGCCCTCCTGGAGGAGGAGGAGGCCCCCCCCCAGGATGGTACTCAGAAGCTCCCTTCATCTGTGTAAGGCTCCCATCCGCAGATCGCCTGGGGCCAAGGCTCAGACCCGGCGCTTCCCATTCGCCCGCGGCCAGCCCGCCAAGAGGCCTGCGTGGCTTCCTCCACGACAACCGACAGGTAACGGGGACGTGGGGGGGGGAGCCTCCCTTCCCTCTGCAAAGGGGCAGGGACCACCCGCTGATAACCTGCCTCCCCTCGGCCTCACCCAAGAGAGGCAGAGTTTCATTTGGTGTCTGGTTGACCCAGTGGCTTCAGGAGCCAAGAAGGGCACAGAATCCGGCCTTGGTCTTTGATCGGCCTGCCTCAACCCACGGGGAACCTCCGCTCCGGCTGGCACAGGACTTCTGGGCGACCAGGAGCCTCCCTCTTCAGGAAGAAGGATTGCTTTATACATGAAAAAACAGGGTACCTTCCAGACATAACTCCCGGTCTTGGGAGGGGAGGCAGGTGCTGAGGCGTGGGAATTGGCCGGGACCTTTCCCACAAGAGAATCCCCTCTTCTTAACAAGGTCACACTGGCCTCACCTTTGCCCAGCCTCAGAGGGGCTGAGAAGTCTCCTCTGAAGTCTCAGCAGGATTTTGATGGGTTTTAAAGAGTTTTACTCCGCACTCTGCACTGTGTCAGACTTGAAACTGATTTGTTCTCTTTTGTTCTTAATCTGACGTATGGAATGGCTTTTAACTTTCTTTCTCGTCTTGGTGGCAGCTTTGGAGGGAGCATGCAGAGGGTCATAAGGCAGACCTCCCCCACACACTAGACCTTGCCATGCGATTCGGAGCACTGGGAACAGAAGAGGGCCAGCTGAGAGGTATCTGGGCTGCGCATTAAGGCAAGGGCATCTGAGACCAGAGGAGGTCCCTGCCACCCCCTCCAGCCGGCAGGAAGGACTCCGGGCTGCCACCACCACCACCAACCAGGCCCCGGTCGACCGGAGGTGCAGTGCAAGACCGGCAAAAGAGAACAGCCAGGTCTGAGATTTCAATGCCAGAACCTCTCTCCCTAAGGACTTCATAGAACCGCCTCCCCAGGTTGAAACCAGAAGCCTGTGATTGCTACAGCCGGCATCTATCCCAAAGAAGGATTCAGTCCAGAATGAAATCAGACCATCTTTTCCAATCATAACGTCAGCCTATACCTTGATGCCCAGATTTATCCAGGCACAAGTCTTGATACCTAGATGCCTCAAGACTTCTACCTTGAAACGTCTGGGTATCGAGCTGTGGGTATCTAGGTCTTTTCACTGTTGCTATGAGTCCAGGCACCATCAGCTTGTCTAATTCTACAAGCTCTATTTATTATCTACATTGCCTTTATGTTCCTGAAGCACAAAATAAAATCCTAAGTACAGTATTGAAATCCAAAAGTCCTACAGCTATGGAAAAACTGTACGCACAAATACTTAAAATATATGAAAACTAAACTTAAGCAAATTCAATCCAGAATAAAGAAGCAATATAGTGTAAGAGTAAAAAAAGAACATTGAGAATGTTTCATTTACATTCTAACAATAATGCAGGAGCTTTACGCCTAACAAAGGTACAAAAGACAAAGAATTTATCTTTAAAACACATCATTGAAAAGTGAAAGTGGAAAAAAATTCTAACTCTAAATCATCTTTAGCCTTTAAATGTATTACTGGACACACACACAAAATTATTAAATAATGTTCTCACTCAGCCAAGCCAGCTTTGTGTCAGTTTACGTCTATGGAAGAAAACCCATGATGATAGTTGTTGTTGCTGTCTGGTAAATGTGGTATAGCATGTAGCGTTGTTGTGATGAGTTAAATGTTTAATTCTTGTGTGTGTGTTTGTGATCTCCTTATATATATAGTTCTTTCAATTCTTTTCTCTTTCAACTATAAACGATCCTTTCTCCAGAATCCTGGAAGACCGATAAAAATAATCATAATAGGAAATTCTATTGTCCTTCTATCCTCTTTATAACTCCAAGGGTCCATAATTTAGAATCTGGCAAGCTGCCACTAGGATGATAACATCATTGTTTTGACTAAAATTTTGCAGAGCTTGGAGAAATAAAGGCCTGCGGCATATATCATTTCATGCACTGAGATCCTGGAACACCAGAATGTTGTAACACCAAGGTGCTGGAACTACAAGGACTGCAAACTGTAAGACCTGTATTTACCACCTCCACATTTACACACTGCAAAATAAACACATGCAACCGTCTGAAACATTACGTAGCGTGACCTTGCTTGGGTGGAGAGCTGGCTAATTGTTTTGCAAGGACTATAGTGAACTACTGATCTAGCCTCAATTCTAAAGACACTTTAATTTCCAGGGCTATTTCTTCTACATCCTCCTGAACTATTTCAACACCCTACATAGAAATAAAATCCCACATCTTGACGGAACAGCGCATGCGAGGAGATTCGGGCGGTCAGAACACCGGGTTGCTCAGCAGTGGCCCCCACTCACTCACCTCCACCTCTTGGCCCTGCAGGACGAGCGAGCGAGAGCCAAGTCCCCACCAGGGCCGGGTGTGTGTGTGTGTGTGTGTGTGTGTCCCTTTCTGCTGCCCAACAGGCTCCCCTGGGTCAATCAGCTGTCACTGTGACACCCTCCCCCCCTCATACTTCCCCCAGCACGGGGCCAGCCAATGGGATCGCAGTATGCAAATCTATCAGCCAGGAGGGGCAAGCCATAAGAGAACTGGGAAGAGGGGGCTGGGGGCCAAGGCCGGAGGGGAATGGGGGGGTTGCCAATAGATTCAGCTAGCCCCCCCCCCAAAAATAATCTATCCTCATTCAGGGCTGGCCCAAATTTATTTTCCAGGTTCCCTTTGTATCCCACCTTTCTTCCTCTAGGGAAGCCAAGGCTTCAGCCCTGGGTCCCCCTCCTTCCCATTTTCTCCTCCTAACAGCCCTGCGAGGCGGGGTATCTGGCTGAAAGCAAGCGCCACCGCTCAGAGCCTCCCCTGTGAGTTCTTAGATCTGTGGCATCCCGTCCCAAGTGTCTTCCACTTGGTTGCGGTTTCTCATGGTGGCGAGATCTTCCCTGTCTCCAAGCCCTTCCAAGTGGGGCGATTGGGCCCAGCACCTTTTCTTAGCCAAGCCAGGGAAATTCTTGACAGGCGACCTGGTTCACCAACACATCCCACTAAGCTCCAGAGGCACAGACAAGACTCCTTCCTATTTTCTCTGCCACATCTCCTTTGTTACCATAATGCCATCAGCTCTCTGTGCATGCTCAAAGTCCCCTTGGTTGTTGTGGACAAACATTGTCAAGGCTATGAGATCTAGGTAACCAGTGGTTTCTCTGAGCACGTCAACCAGACAAGGGGTCTAGCTAATAACTTTATAAAGAGAAAGAAAAAGGGAAGCAGACAAAATAGGAAAGGCATGTCTGGCAGAGCCAGAAATGCGTCAGGTTGCAAATGCAAGGGTGAAGTAACAAAACAAAGTTATAAGCAAATGAACTGGACACGCCAGACCTCCTATCCAAGCTGCCACAAAACCTCTCCATGGCAAGCTAAAATCTTATTGTCTGTTTTGCTTTCTCGGGAGCTATCCCTTTCTTCTTCCTTCTCCCCATCCATTTTCTGTTCATTCCCTCCCCCCCCCAGTCTTTTGATGAAATAATCTCAGGTGTGAAAAGGGAGCACTGCCCCTGGTCCGAAAACAGGGACTTCCTTTTTGGCATTTGCTGGTGAGATTCACACAACACCTGATCTTCATGGTTCCTCGTGGACGGGAAGGTTAATTTCAGGCCTTTATCAATTTATACAAGGAATTGATTTTGAGGTGCTCTGCATCTCATGACACTCAACACATTTAAGTTCCAGCACCCATTTTAGGTGCTGTTAAGAACCCACTGGCATTCTGTCCTGTCTGGGCAGGAGTGGGAAGAGACGACCCTCGGGAGCTTTTCCACATCTGCCGTTCAGTCAGAGCACCAAGAGCCCAGCTGAGAGGAAACGTGGGACCCATTCCTTCCGGTTTGCCCTCCGAATTCCCATGCTGCCTCCGGGGCAACAGCCGCAGCAGGAGCCCAGGCATCCTTCTCCACACTGTCCTGCGCCCCCACCCCCAGCAAACTTACTCCCATCAGCTCTCCATTCCCTAAGCTGTTCCGGAGAGATAGGCGAGAGTAACAGCTGTAGGGCGCCACCTCTCTTCTCTCCCACTCACCATGGCAAGGAAGGGGAAGGGGTGCCCAAGCACCACCCACACAGCCTCCTCTGGCCTGGCAGCTGCCCCAAGCCCCACCAGGGAGGCGCCGAGGAAGTCAGGGGAACCAGGTTCCCAAGGCTGGACAGGATGGCACCTAAGGAAAGGTGTTCCCTAACAGGGTTAAGGTTAGGGAACCCTGCTAGCCAACTCTGTCCAGGTCTGGCTGGCGGCTCTAGCCACCAAGGGTTCCCCCTTCCAGCCCCCAGCGATGACCGGGGTAGAACCCCAAGCTGCAAGACAGCACCCCAGAGTTTTCTGGCAGTCTCTTACCCAGGTGTGAAGCAAGCTGAAGCCCCAGCCTGGTCAGCCCCCCAAACCAGGAAAGATCTGGCAGCCATGAGACTACATAGGCCTGGCCCATGTAGCTCTGGTCCACTGCACAGTGGCTGGAAGGAAAGGCTCTCCCTAAGATCAGCAGGATAAAGAGGTTACCTATGAGTAACCATAGTTCTTCGAGTGGTTCTCTATGAATCCACACAATTGGGGTATTACTGCGCCTGCGCAGGACCTCTCTGGAGTTTCTAGAGCTTAAAAACATGTGATTAGTGGGACATTCCTCCCGTGCCGTGAAGATGCTGGGCATGATGAGCTGTGACATAATGTTTGAGTTTTTGAATTTGTCAGTCCTTTCCTGTGGGAGAAAGGCACAAGCTCGGGAGGAGTCTAACTGAACTCCTACGTATATAAGTAACAGTTTGAGATGGGTTGAGGCGCGATTTTGAAAAATTTACTTTGAGCCCGAGATCTGCTAGGAGGTTTAGAGTAAAGCGGGCATCATTCAATGCCGTCCGGTAGGAGTCTGAAACAACCAGCCAGTCGTCTATGTATGGAAAGGCTGATTCCCCGTAGATGGAGGAAGGCGGCGACAGGGGCGAGACACTTGGTGAAAGTTCTGGGTGCTGTTGACAGACCAAGTGCAGAACTGATAGGCGGTATCGTTGAAATGGAAACGTAGACATTTCTGATGTCAAGGACAGATGGAGATATGGAAATAAGCGTCTTGTAAGTCAATGACTATGAACCAGTCTCCGAGAGAAAGGAGAGGGATTAGAGTGCTGAGGGTAGTCGTTCTGAATAGTTTGGGGGGGAATGTAGTCGTTGAGTTTTCTGAGGTCGTGTATTGGGTGGAGACCTCCGTCTTTCTTTGGTACCATGAAGTAACAGGAATAGAAACCATTGTGGATATCTGACTGTGGAACTGGGAGGACAGCATGCTTCTGGAGAAGAAGAAGGACTTTGTCTTGTAGGGCTGTAGACAAGGGGTGGTTTTTATGGGAGTGAAAGGTGGGAGGTGGTCAAATTCGATAAGGTAACCGTGAGTGATGATAGAAAGGACCCAGTGATCACTGCTAATTTGAGTCCATTAACTGAGAAATGGTGAGAGACGGGTATGGAAAGTGTAGATCTCAGGCTCTGAGGAGTCAGGGATAAGGTTGAGTCCTTTTCTGCTGACGGCGAAATAGTTGTCGTCTTTGTTGTTGCTGTGTTTGAGATGGAAAGTTAGGACTGGATGAGGTTGATGGCATGGCATGGGAACGGTGGTCAGAGGATTGTGATCTGTAAGGTTTGTATTGTGGCTGGAACGGCTGGTGTACAAAGGTCTGCTTCCTCCACTGAGGGCGCTGATATCTGAAAGTTTACTGAGTTGAGTAAGACTTGGCTGTTTTGTGAATCTTATGTAAGCTGTCCATAACTTCATTGGTCTTGTCATTAAATAGTCCAGCTCCATCGAAGGGAAGGTCTTCAATACGGGTTTTTGTGTCATCAGAGATTCCAGCGGATGTGAGCCACGCATGGTGGCATAGGGCAATGGAAGTGGCCACTGCTTTCGATGCTGCGTCTGCTGTGTATCTGGAAGCTATGCGCTGTTGTTTAGCTAGGTCTGAAGCTTCAAGATGTATGTTTAAAGCTTCTGACTTGGTATCATTAGGGACTTCCTGGAGTATAGGGAGTACCCGATTCCAAAATTGCCGCTGGTAGGCTCCCATGGCAGCTTGATAGTGCGCAACCCTCATAATAAAGGATGTGAGTGAATAGAGACATCTCCCTAAGATATCAAGTTTTCTCCCTTCTCTATTAGTCAGGGCCATGGAGGACTCGTTCCAGGTTCAAGACTGGTTAGATCTGACTATAATAGAGTTCAGGATGGGATGTTTTGAGAGAAATGAAGTGTCTGTGTTGTGAGTTTTGTAATGATTTTCTACTCTCTGAGAAATCTGGAGAGAAGATGGGGGCTTGTCCCACAATTCTTTTACCAGATCAAGCATTGGTGGAATAAAGACAAGACTTCATGGGGCACTTTATCTTGATTTATATCATCAAATACTAAGTCTTGCTTTTGAGGTGGAGGTTCTTCTACTGCAAGCTCTAAAGATTTAGGCATTCTTAGAACCATTTGGCCATACGAAGTAAAGTCCTCTGAAGGGGATGGTGGGTGGTTTTCTGCCACATCAGAGTTCGGAGTGGGAAGATTAGAGGGGGATTCTTGTGAAGCAATCGAAGAAGGAGCATGATCAGAGGTAGAAGAAGTTGGTGAAGGGGAACTGTATCGTGGTTTTTGTGGTAAGGGTTTCGAGGTTGGGGGCTGCTGAGGGGAAAGTGGATCAGACTCAGACAGAGGCAGTGGTGGACCTGTGTAAGTAGTAGTGGCTTGAACAGATGAGGGGCGATGTCGACTCCGAGGTTGAGATGTAGTCGGTATCGAGCGTCCTGGTGTCGCGGAAGGTTTAGACCGTTTAACCGGCGAGTGATCAACATGTTCGGGACAGTATCTCAAGGCTGGTTTGACAGGTCAAGGTATTTGTCGATAAACGATGCTTCCGGAAGGTCGGTCATGATGTCGATATCGAGGTGGAGATGGGGAGGGTGATGGAGAGTGCATGGGTGGATATGTGATGGCATATCTTACGCGTTTAGGCTCATCACAGTAAAGGGGCTCCTCGATCTCGTCTCTGTGGGAATATGTCTCATAGCGTACGTATGGGTCTCGGTAGTCATTTCTCCGATGGTATCGGGAGGGTTCTCTATAATATACGTATTCTTTGCATGGTGGTTCATATTCCACGGGAGAAAGGTGTCCATTTTTTGCTTGAAATTTACAAGGGGGCGATCTCAGCAGATAGTCGAGCTTGGAGATTGGCGGAGATACTGCCCGACCTGATAGCGCAGGGCTGGAATGGGCCGAGGCCAGGCTGGATGGGACATCCACCACTGAGGGGCCAATACTCGGAGAGAGGTTATCAGCCGAAGCAATGGGCTGTCCTAGAGGTGGAGATGAGACATACCTTAGTCTTGATTTAGA